TGTTTTGTCACTTTTTAAAATGGGATAATTTAAAAATTATCCCATCAAAATCTGCTTTCATCATAGCTCTTTGTTTTTCATCGGTATTTTCAATCTATTTTACAGTGCACCATAGCTTACAATCCCGTGGCCGTACATAATCAAGTGACGTTTGGGTAGAGTACAGTGGGGAGACATGTCAAAATCATAACTCTGAGAAACACAGCCAAAGACTATATAATATACTCTGTGACATATATTGAAGGTTTTACGAGCGCTAATTATTCCTGTTATTTTTTAACGTATATGGGAGCTTTAGCGATCTGTGGTTGCTTTGGCCCAAGCCAGGTTTTCAAGCTTTCTATCATTAATGCTATTTTAAAGAAGCACCAAAAACTGTAATGTCTGTCAGCAATGGAGTCATGACGCATATCGCAGCAATGTCATCGCGAACAAGGCCATAGACACAAACACGATTTTAAGCTCAAAACACCACGATCGGTAGCTGGAACGCAGAGCCCACACTGCGCCTAGCATCGTAGTGAAGATTCTGCGTACCCATCTACCGGTCGTGGATGTGATGGTGCGTAGCTCTACATTCTTTAAGCAATGCTATGTCGACACTAGGGTAACGTGAGCTTTCTTTTTGAATGAGCGGCGGTCGTGCTAAGAAAACTCACGTAGTTTACTACAAATGGATAGGTCGGCTGTATCGTACTGTAGTTTATTAAAAGGTAATACCAGTACAGCCCGAGATGTTAGCTTTTTGACAGATCGGGTCGATTTGAGAACTTCTGGTCAGCGTGGTACTTGTTTGCAGCCGCCAGGAGCACGGCTGCGACAGTTGCACGAGAAAAGTTATCACATGAATGTAGTGAAACGATTTTTAGATCCAACAATGGTCATTTTTTCTTTTATTAGAGAGCTGTAGTTGCTAGAGCTATTTGTTTTGGTCTGGAGCTATTTGTCGGCGGCTCCAGCAAATACCTCCAGTTCCATAAATTTGAAGTGTAGTAGGCTAGGAGCATCGCCCGAAGTTAGCAAAGAAACTACGGTACCCGTCGCAAACTCTCAAAGGTCTGGCATTCATCGTTAAAATGCAGCTTAGACGTAAATTTAACTGAGTTGGTCATCTTGGTGACGGCTCCGCTAGCGATTGGCATGGACATTGGCGAGGTGCTCTATCATCTAGAGCGATTCCTATGTATGCGAGCCAGCGATGATCGTGATCCAGTCCCCTCCAAAGAGTTCTGCTTGGACGAGATCAACCCCGCTTGAAGCCGGCGTCGGCTCCGATGTTCTTGCGCACGAGATAGAGAAGATAGAAGATGCTTTGCGACTACCGCCTACGATCGACACAGCTTAATCTGTCCCAGTTCCTCGCCAAGAAGCGATCTGAATGCTTCTCAGGCACCTAGCTTTTCCAAGTTGACACGACGGACTTGTTGCGGAATTCGGTCGAAGACCCGAGTTTTTTTCGTCCACAGCGAGCACCATCGCGCCCACGATCTAAGATAATATCAAGGACAAGATGGTGTTTGATCATCGCATGGTAGAACGGCTCAAGCAGAGCTCGGCGGATGCGATCTTTACAAAGGTTGGTCGACGCCGGAACTGTTTTGGATTTATCGACGGCACTGTTCGCCGTATCTGTCGTCCCACTCGACATCAGAAGCAAGCGTACAGCGGACACAAAAAGATGCACGCATTCAAGCTTTAAAGCATTATCATGGCGAATGGTTTAATTGTTTCGCTCTGCGGTCCAGCCAAAGGGCTTCGCCATTATGGCTACATGCTTCGTGCTAGCGAAATGGCGGCAGAAAAGGAAAACTCTCCAGGTTTTTTACTTTATGGAAACCAGAGTTATCCTCTATGATCTTGGCTGATCGTCCCGTACGCTGGAGCTGTTTTGACCAACGCCCAGACTCAATTTAACCTTGACTTGAGTAAGGCGCGCATTGCGGGTGAGTGGGAGTTTGGTTGGATTTTGCGCTAGTGGAAATATTTTACACTTCCAAACAACATAAAGGTGCTCAAGGCCGCAGTGAGATTGCTGTATATTGCTGCGGCATTTCTGACCAACTGTTTATCCTGTGTGCGGCGACGAAATAAGTCTAGCAAGTATTTTTGGTGTAGTCTACCAACTCATCTGTGCTATCTAGCTGATATATGCCATGGTGTAGTGGACGAAGCTGACTACCGAGAAGGCTGACGTTTTTTTTAAACAAGCCCAAGATTCTGACAGCGACTTAAACCGCAGTAAGGACAGCGATATTGAAAGCGGTGATGATAGCGAGTTTGACGACTGAGTAATTGCTTCGTCAAACAAAACAGTAAGCTTACGCTGCAAATATATCTATTAATTTCTTATGCCGTAAGCGCCATCATAACGCCATAATCACTAAAATTAGATAAAGTCATAATTACCACTCTTTGGCGTTTGTCTTGTTGCAGGCCTTGCTGTTGTTAGCGTTGCTGGCATTTCCTAGCACCACCGCCAAAGTTTGCATTGCCGCGGCCATCCTTTCCGCTACTTGTTACTGGGACTTTGCTTGCTGTTCCTGAAGCGCCACCACTCGGGCTTGTATGCGCTCCTCGCCGTCAAGGCGCTCGCGACTCTCACGCTCTCTGCGAGCCTCAAATTCAGCTGCAACATTCTTGACGAACTCCAGTGGGTTCATCCGCTTTTGCGTGGTGCCGACTTTAGGCTTCTTTGGCTTTTCACACGTCGGAGCCGCCTTACGGATAGCTTCTCCGCCAATGCGATCTTCTTCAGCTTTCTTGTTGCGAATCTCTATACGATCGGCTCTGGTAGCATCCTCATTTTCTTTGAGCTTGATGGGCTGTGCAACGAGCAGCTCAAACTGAACTTCATCACTGGCTGTGTTTTTAGCGCGCGACCTGATAGCAAAATAAGTTTTAATTTACCTTGCCGCAGTAGCAAAATATTACCTGAGAGGGCACGCTCTTTCGACATTTTGCTGCAAGTATATTATTGTGCTTTCTACTCAAAACTTGACTGCCTGATTTATTAATCACCCGCGCTGAATGGCCTATGAAATCGTTCATCCTACCATACATCATACGGAAACATTACATGCGACAGGTTTCCACACACTACAAGCTCAGAGCAGAGCGCATCGGCAACGTTTCCCGTGTCAGCAAACGGTAATGGATTCTCGATCTAACGTCTCGCCTGGTAGCGCAAGAGGACCCCCACCAGCGGGTGCTGCATCAGCTGATGGTGCACGCTGTGGTGGTCGAACACGTATATCGCCACATTCGGCCCGTGTATCTCCATATCCTGAGCGTATTCGGACGCCAACGGAGACTACACCGCCCCACCCAGGTCCAATACGACGGCGTACACCTCCAGACCGAGAAGCACTGCCAGCGACCACGACTAGGGCATACTCAACCCCGGGTCCAGTGTCATCCGCAGCCCAACGAGCGTCACTTCTTGGAGCAGCAAGATCACCTGGTGAATCAGCTCAAGCTCGACCTTCTCCAGCCCCTGGTACAGCTAGACAGTCGCGGACTCCACGTTCCACACGACGTCGAACATTACCCCGAGCTGCATCTCCTGTTGGTCAACCTGAGCAGCAGATACCAGCATCCCCAGCTGACGCTACTTCGCATCAATATCAGTATGTAGTTCAACCTAAGTTGCAGCTGGTGAGTTTTGACCAATTATATCTAAGTGTTGATTTTTCAGACTATCCGTCAATCACCCTCGGTATCCAATTTTCACTGGAATTGACAATAACAACCACATCTAAACGCTTGCGCAGTGCCTCTGGCGAAATCTCCTTGAGCACCTGGTCGTAACGTGCACCCCAGCGCTCCGTTTTCGACTCACCGGCTCGGTTGAACAAGCCGGCGTCTCCAAGAGTCTCTTAGAGAACAAAACAGTTCTGTTTTGCTGTGTACGAAACGCGACACTTGGATTCTTCTTGCTTGCGGCTGGGCTCGCTTGCTTTCTTTTCTCGGAAGAGTCCGTGGACCTGTCAACCCGAATCACGAGACTGCTATGACTTTGCACGCCTCTCTTAGTCGTGTATCTCGCTATATCCTTTGTCTGAGAAGCTGGCTTAGATGCAGGCACTGCTTGAGCAGTTTGCACAGCAACAGGCGAGGTCGGCAGGCTTGTCGTGTCGTCTTGGAGTCGACCATAACGGTGTTCTTCATACCCTTTGCTATCGCATGCCCCGGCCGACACGTAGCTTGTTTCTTGGCCTGACGCGGTTCGTTCAGCCCGGCGTTGCTGGCGCGCTCTCTGCTTTTAAGGATGGGCGCTTCTTCGACTTCGTCGGCGGTCGGAATGGAGCTTGAACCTTGGTAACAGAGCGGGCGGACGTGCGTTCCATCTTGCTGTGGGTGCGGAGTGCGGTATCCAGAGTATGTGTTGCGTTTTAAACTAGCTGCTTTGCATCAGATCATGGAGGCTTTTGTTTTTTTCGCTTCCTGGAGCATCTTGCGCCTTGATTAACCTCTTGTAGCTTCGTTTTGGAGCTAAAGGTTACGTTTTACAGTGTTTTTCTTATAAAAGTACGGAAATAGCTCCATAACCCTCAATTAACTCCAGAAACTACAGCTCTCTATTTCGGCAAGATTGGAGCTAATAATTACCGACTAAAAAATTTTCCGGGACGAGCATGTCAATTGCTGGAACCGCTATTTTTCGTAATTCCATGGCTCTCCAACCACTGTTCTTCTTCTACTGTAGCTTCTCAAAAGGATCGTATCATGGGATCCCGAATGGCCTGTCGAGAAAGCTGCAATGAATAATGAGACATAGCCGCTGTGTCGTTCATGTACAGTAATAACTTATTACTGTACATGAACAACAAAGCGTCGCTTACAGTACATGTAATTAAAAAAACATCATGAAACATTTTTTTCTTATGTACATAATCGGATACCAAGTCCAGTGTTTAAAACGAAGGCACTTAATACGCATGCATGTTTTTTTACATGACATGTTACATGTACCAATATTGCAGCCCTTCAGGTATTGTGAGTCAGATTAGTACGAAGTAGCGTCCAGTCTCGAAGAAATCGTATTCTCGACAGTAGACTCGGCGAGTTACATGTGGTGCCGCGTATTCGAAGATACCAACAAGCACGTGCTGGTTAAGCATAGGCAAGGGCAACTGCCTCCTCTTCTTGGTATCACGCCGTTCACTACGTCTCGTACCCATGACACTCAGAAATGCAGCTCTACATTTCATAGAGAGGGCCGACAACATCACAGGGAGAGCTTCAAAGTGTCGCGCCTTGAATTTGTTAGAGTGCCTTAAAAAGTGAGGACGCTGGGCAACAACATCCAGATACTCTAGGGTGCGATTTACCTCGAGCATCTTCGCCAAAGCAGCATAACACTCATTATACGGACGATTGAATACATTCTGGTCCAGTCGAACTCGCATGCGTCGGGTACATTTCGCCAGTAGATTTTCACTGTCGCACAGAGCCTCAGCGATCCCTATGATATCCCAGGAAAACCATAAATGCGATGACGAGTCGAGTGTCAAGTCCCGGTGGTTGGTGTCGCGGAGGCAAAAGCGCATCTCAATGGTGTGAGTGTATACTGCTAGCTCGATCAGGTTGGGACAGCTTGCGACGATGCCTTCCAGCTCACTCGTATTGAAGCTTTCAAGCTTGAGAGTTAAATGTGTGAGCGAAGCGCCAACAAGTAGCAGCATACCTTGCAGAGCTTCTGGATCGGGATCTCTATTAAACTCGATCGTAAGAGACGTAACACCAGCAAGTCCGTTGGGCGGAAGCGTGAGTTCTCTGTAGAATAAGCTTTTGCGCTGTACTTGGCATCTTCCGAAGCCAGGAATTAATACATTTATCCAGCCACTGGCATCGATCTCACTCAGCAGTCTCACTCCCGAGATCTCCCTTTCTAACTTGAAGGAATGACTTGTATTGAGAACTTCCTCCCGACGCATAGACAGCAACTTTATCGTTGATTCCGCTCTGATACAAATGTCAATTGATGCATCGTTTGAATGACTCAAAAACCCGAACAGACCTTCTTCGGGTGCATCTGACGCCAGCACCGCTGCCATAGCCTTCACGACTTCGTTAGTAACCACAGCATTGTGAAGCGTGAGACTTTCAAGCCGCGAATGAAGACGGGATCTCTCCGAGAAACAGGCGAAAAGAATCCACTGCCACCTCCACCGACAAAGTGCCCAGTCGCCATCGTCATGATCGTCACCGTCACTGTCTCCATCGTCCAGCTCCAACCCTAACGACAGATACTTCGTTGTCTGGCTCACGGCGACAGCCGAACACATGCGTTCGAAGACCCAGTTCTGCATGGCCTCGCAGTCAAAATGCACAGAGGCAATAGCGAGCTGGTGGCTGTATCCATATTCCGCGGCAAAAGGCCCAGTCATGCTAGTCGCCTCAAAGTCAAAATTACTGTCGAATTCTACCGTTTTCTTCACACCTCCAAACAAACCAAACATCAACTTCCCAACAGTTTGTCGAGCTTTCTCTAAATTTTCAGTCGCTGTAAATTGGTAGCCGAGTTCTTCCCTCAACGCAAGTCCAGACAGCCGGATACCGTCGGTAGCTAAGCTCTCAACAAGCCCCACCAATTCATCGCTGATGTGAATGTCTCGCAGATCTACCGTGATGGATTCCAGCACTCAGTCGAGGGGGATCTCGGTCTACGTATTGCCGCCACTGCGACCGAATCGTTCTAATCGTCTCCTGTACCTTTCGAAGATACGCAATCATCTCTTGACTACTGGTCGTAAGCCACGGCCCCAACTGCACTGATACCGGGATCTCAATCTCCGTCGACCCAGTGCACAGCTTCATGCCACCTCTTGCTGCAATTTTAACCAAAGTTCTCTTGTATTCTGCACTTTGAGCAGAGTATTGTTCTGTACCACAAAATTCTATGATTCCTTTCAAGAGTTCTCCATCGCCGTCGATTCCGTTATCAACAAGTGCCAATTGGAATCGAGGCATGACCTCCCCTTCGAACTGCTCCTCTTGCTTTCCCACTGTCAATTTTCCATTCTCCACTAGCAATTTCTTGTACGCGGCATTGTCGACGTGTGCCACTGCAGCTAACAGCCCCAGCGCCTCTCGCAAGTCTTGGCACGGAGACTTTCTATTGTCCTCGACTTCTTCCTCCTCGTCGCTCCAAGGTTGGAAACTGGGCAGTTCCACTTCAATTCCGCGGAAACGTTGCCCGGGTGCATCCTCCAGCGCACCCTTCACATATCGTAGACGGTGGGAGACTCGATGACACCAGGGCAGCAAGAAGTCCCAACTGTCCTCCTCCATTTGTTACTGCAAATTTTAATTTGCCAAACAATATCGGACGAAGAAAGCACAGACCACAAAATTTGTGGGTGTCGAAAAAAAGCAAATTTAATTTGCTTTTTGTGTGTGTTTCTTGTGGATCCAAATGAAAAATCAAATTACAAAACGGGATCCACCGCAATGTGAAGGTTGAAACAAAAAATGGTCTCAACCTTCATAATCACTGGCCAACTTCAACTTGCGAATTAATCTAATGCCAACGATCAAGCCAACGACTTCAGTAGCACATGAGCCGGCCTTTTACTATCTACACCTCGTCGTTTGAGCTCAAGTAGCGCCTCCTACTTCATTCTCCAACTTTTTTTCGCCCTAAGCAAGTCAAGTCTCCCAACTCGCTTCTCTCCGTAATGGCAGCTGGCGTCGTGGTGAACGCCCACAACAGCAACGACGATGACGTCCCCACCGAAGGCTCGCGCACGTACGCTATCATCGTGTGCGTCTTCGCCGCGCTCGGTGGTCTTTTCTTCGGATACGACCAAGGTGTGACGTCGGGTGTTCTCATCATGGACTCGTTCATCTACGACTATTGTGTCGGCTGGCACAATTTCACCTACGAGCAGTGTACCACTTCCACTTCCCAACTGCCACACGAATGGACGGACTTCACTGTGTGGCACAACATGACGTACAACCTCGGTTGTCTCGGTGGGGCCTTCATCGGCGGATTTGTCGCGGACAAGCTCGGCCGTCCACCATCTTTTGTGCCGGGCTGCTGTTCTGTATCGGCACATCCTGGGTGTGTTTCAACAAAGCACAAGAACACAGCCTCATGTATATCGCACGTGTGGTTCAAGGCTTTGGGGTGGGTAACTCGTCGTTCTCATTGCCTCTCTTTGGCGCAGAAGTGGCGCCGAAGGAGCTGCGTGGCCTGCTCTCTGGTTTCATGCAGATGACTGTTGTGACGGGTCTCTTCTTGGCCAACGCTGTCAACATCATCGTAGAGAACCATGATCGTGGTTGGCGTACGACCAACGGCGTGGCCATGGCAGCTCCGCTAGTTGTTATGCTCGGCACCTTCTTCGTGCCGGAGAGTCCTCGCTGGACGTATCTACATAAGGGCAATGAGGAGGCAGAGCGCGTGCTCAAGCGTCTCCGTCAGACGGACAACGTCGGCCACGAACTTCAGGTGATCGGTGACCAAGTCGACGAGGAATTGGCGGCCCAGAAGGGGTTTGCTGAATTACTCGAGCCATCGATTTTCAAACGTGTAGCCATTGCAATGATGCTCCAGGTGCTACAGCAAGCCACGGGTATCAACCCCATCATGAGCTACGGCAGTCTCATTTTCCAAGACATCACTAATGCCGGTATCTACTCGGCTTTCTTCATCTCCGGTGTTAACTTTCTGAGCACCATCCCGGCCATGCGCTGGGTGGACACTACGGGACGACGCAAGCTGCTACTTATCGGTGCCGTCGAAATGGTCACAGGCCACTTGTTCGCTGCTATCCTGTTCACTGCGATCTGTGACGGCACCGTCGACGATGCAGGCTGCCCCAAGGTTGGTGGCTGGTTCATTTGCCTTGGCTCTGCCTTCTTCGTGTTCAACTTCGCTATCTCGTGGGGCCCCGTGTGCTGGATCTACCCGGCCGAGATATTCCCGTTGAGCATGCGTGCAACTGGCGTGACGCTATCTACGGCAGCCAACTGGGCTGGGTGCTGTCATGACTGAGGGGGTAAAGCTCTTTCCTCATCTGAACATCAACGGCGTCTTCTTTTTGTTTGCTGGGCTGTGCTGCATCTGCGGCGTCTTCGTGTACTTCTTTTGTCCAGAGACCAAGGGCATCATGCTCGAAGACATCGAGGAACTGTTTCATAGTGGAAACCCCAAGTCGTCCCACTTCGTTGAGGTTAAATCCCCAGACTCAACTTCAGATGTTGCTTTTGTTTAATTCAACATGTTAACGAATAAATTTTCTTTGACATACGTCTATGGGCTCTGTCGTACTTAAGTACTCGATCTTCTTCTGATAAATTGATCGCTCGTTGTATCATTATCCTGATAAATATCCGTCCTACTGCCGCACCCCGGTGCGGCAACGATGGTGAACACCATCGGGCAAGTGCTCAACTGGAGAGGAATGGAGCCTGACGTACGAAAGCTCACGGGCAACTGCTTAGCGTGCTTGAATGCAAAGCACCCGACGACTCGGTATGGCAAGTTGCCGCCGATGGCGGTCGAAGTATGGCCGTGGTTTGTAGTTGACTCCATCGGTCCCTACGGACGGAAAGGCTTCCGGGCACTAACATGGGTCATTGACACAGCGACGTGGATGATCGAGATACTACCCCCTACGGACGCAACGAGCATGGAGGAGGCGTACCTAGTGTACAGGTACTGGTTTGCATGCTACTCCCGCTCAACACGCGGTATCCACGATGGTGGAAGCGAGTTTAAACGGGAGCTCGCAGAACTACTGGACAACTACGGTGGGAGCGTGTGGTGACCACGACCCGTATCCCTCAAGCCACAGCGTCATCGAACGTGTGCACAGAGTGATCGGAGAGAAGACGAGGACAAAGAGCATCAATACACAACGCGATTGGGCAAACTTCCTCAACGACACCATGTTCGCCATGAGAGCGTCCAACCACTCAATGTTGAAGGCTTCACCGACGCAGTTGGCATTCGGACGTGACACGCAGGTGTACCTTGCCCACGAAACAGATTGGCAAGCGGAGCATCAGCGCAAGGTAAACCAAGTACGAGCGCACAACGCTCGTGAGAATTAAGGACGTTCCGTGCGGACAGATCAGCCATGAGATCAAGTACTACTACGTCGTGATGCTTGCGTTCAAAGCAAGATGCAGCCTCTCTTCGACGGACCCTTTGAAGTAATCGCTGCTCAAGAACACGGGACGTTTACCCTTGACAAGGTCCGATACCTTGAGAAGGCAAACGTACGTCGTGTGCGACCCTGCAAGGCCAAGCGTGGAGGATACTGTGAGCAGCCGCAGTAAGGTGCTCTCCTAGCGCACCTGCAGCTTAGAACGTACGTGCTACGTAGACGTGCTGCTGTCCGAGGCCAGCAGGTGTGTCATGTTGACCAGCCTTCTAGTGGAAGAAGGCAACTACATATGTTTGACGTTGAAGTAGGATTAGACAGCTAGCACTACGAGCGCCTAGGACAGCAGGACTAGCTAACAGAGCGAGTAGCAAAGCTGTAATCATCTAATTCGAACTCAGTTGTGGTTTTACCATCAAGAACACAAATCGACGGTCAACCACATGACAACCCCCCCCCCCAAGGAGCTCGAGCACGCGCACATAATATGCTACAAACATACACCTGGCTGAACTGGTTTCGAAATTATCATTTTAACTCTACTTAATAAAATACTTTGTGGCGCAAGGCTGTGGAAACCTCAGCAAATTTAATCCTTGTGGAATTAATGAGAAAAATGAAGAGTATAAGAGCATTTATTTTAAATTTGTGCTGACGATAATTGAAGCATCAAGGTAGACAAGAGAAATACAGAAAGCAAGTCGGTGTATATACAATGAATCTGATTGGCCAGAATAAAATGGCGTCTTATATTTGCACTAGTTAAAATTAATCCTGTTTGGGTATTCTGAGTATAAACCTTTTGTTAGTACGAAGGTTGGTAGAAAAACCAACAACTGCAGACATAAGCTTTCGCCGGTTAGGATGCGTTCCTCAGAGGGTAAGGCGCATAAGTTTGATCTGAAATCTCGCTTTGGATATGCAGAACCTGACCAGCACATACACTTGTGAGTTTGGAGACGGCAGGTTCTTTTATCAAACACTACGCCTTTAACATGAACAAAAATGCCGAGGGGAAGAAAGGAGGTGGCGGGACCCACGTAAAATGGCTGTGTTCTGAGCACAGAAACGGTTGTAGCTGGTTTATAGCTTTGTCACGCAAACGTCAATCGAAAATTAATGAAGAAGCGACCATGCAGCGGCGGAAAAAGCCTACAACTAAACTCTCACATATTCCAAGTGGATCATGGTATATCTCTAAAATGGAGCTAAACACGCACAACTTTGCCCTGGGATTGCTGTAATGACTACTGAGTTTCTGTTGGAGCATTTTGGTTTTCGTGGAGCTATTCTTCCTGGTCATAGCACTTCACTAGCGCGGGTAGTAAAGACAATGAGTGAAATTTACGGTGTCGACATTTCCAAGCAACCTGCAATGGCCTACCGTACCATTACACAAGCAAAAAAACAGAACCCATTTGACCCGGTAGCTGAGTACGGACGCCTTCCTAGTTATCTACGCGAGTTTGCACTGAAAAACCCTGGTTCACGGGTTTGTTGTCAGTTGGACTCAGAGGGGAGGTTTTATAGAGCCTTTTTATCTATTGGTAGTGCTGTGAATGTGCAAGACGCATTTTTACCTGCTTGGGAGTGCGATGGCACGCACATGAAGGATCCGTCGTACAATGGCATTTGTTTGACAATTATTGGTATAGACGGGAACAAGCAAAATGTGCCTACTGCAGTGGCCTACGTTCACAAAGAGACCGTCGACAACTTTGCCTGGTTTTTCGGGAACTGTATTGTCGCTGGTATAAAGATGAACATTCGGCCTGCGTTTTGCGACAGAGGAAAACAGCTAGCAGCTCAAGCCTTGTTGCTTCGCATCAACATGAAAATACACTTGAAGTTCTGCACACTGCATATCAGGTTTAACACCATGGACAAATTCAAATCTCTGAGGTTAAACTTGAAGTCCGTAAACGACGATATTTTTTCGCTTCAAGGCGCTTCAACAACCGAAGGGTATGAGCTCATAAAAAAATAGCATCCAAGCATCCTGCCGGAATTTCAAAGATTTTCGCGGGGAAGATCGTGGAGGAGCACGTTTGGAGCTACCTTAGCAGTATTCATCCCACAGATTGGTGTGTTGTCGGTAATATGAAGGCAACAACAAAGGAATTAAAGTGGATAGACGATAACTGGTCTTCTGTCCCAAAGCACGGCGACGCTTTGCCTCTGTTTGGTATCCGCACTACGAGTGCTGTCGAAGGAGAGAACAACGGGCTACTATGAGGACGTGTGCGGACCCAACTTGTGCTAGGTTCAGTCATGACGTACTGTACAAGAGCACTCAAAGTTTTGCAGAAGCGTGAGAAGCTCGTCCAGGAGTGGAATAGTGCAAGTTGTGATATCACTCCTCACGCTCTGAAGGAGTTCGAAAAGGAGAAAGAACTGGTAGCTCATCAGACAGTCGTGCAAAGAGACGAATCTCTCTTCTACGTCTTTGACGCCTTCGATAGCCGCGGTTTAGGTGGGGACACACATCTCTACGAAGTAAACATGGATTGTGGAACTTGCACTCGATGCACTGTTGCTGAACAAATGCAAGTCCCTTGCCGTCACATGCAGGCAGTCGCTTTCTGGAGATCAAGGCAGACAAATAGTGGACTTTCGGACTATGATATCAAGCACTACTTCCATGAAGCTTACACTGTGTCGAAAATGGTAGAGGCCTTTGACTTCACTGTTATCAGTCTTCCTCTGTTTGACGAACTTGAGCAGACAATCGAAGTCAAGCCCCCACCGTTATATCGTCAAGCTGGTCAATCACGCAAGCGCTCGAAAGAAGCCAGAGACTTTGCAACCGGTAAAAGAAGAACTCCAAACCGAGGTGAATGTGCTGGGTCAACGGCTCCAATAGTTAGTCAGTGTGTGCCTAGTGATGTACACAGCGATGATGATAGCAAGGCAATTGCAGAGTTTTTCAACTCGCAAGTGAAGGGCGCGCGGAGAAGCAAACGAGAAACGTACACATGCAGCCGCTGTAAAGAAGCCGGTCATAACGTGAGGAGCTGCACGACACCACTGATGGAGATAGAGGTAGCTGGAGTAAGTATCGTGCCAGGTATTTACGTTGTTGTAGAATGTCTATTCGCTGCCTGTGGAAAAAGCGAAGAATATGAAAGGGAGATCAAAACCTACAAGTAAACAACGGAATATACACATAATATTGAAAATAATTAACGCTAGGTAATGAATGCCATGCCTGAAGGTGCAATAAAGTTCTTCCATCCAAGGCTGTCAGTGTCAAGTAGTAGACATTTAATGCAGTATCGTGTGCGAGAGATTAGAGCTGACAACATGGTGATGCAGATTTGACGCGTACCTCTGTATGTGAGCGGGGTTAGAGCACTATCGGCCAAGCTTAAGCGTCAATATGCTCGCTTCGGCACCAATTATCAACACTTCAGAAACCAACAGCTGCATATCCAATGTCAGCAACAACGAAACGCTCAACACAACGAGTTGTCCGACCCACACATCTGCGTTTTTGTTCCAGCTGAGTAGAATGCTGCTCTAGACGATATTCACCCTGCTTAATGCCTGTTAAATAACGTCATTAGTTTAGTCACATTAAATCCACTCGAGAAGTCAATCTACACCTTGAACCGCCCACGGAAATTTCTTCGTCCATAACTGGTGCAGTGTACAAACTATCACGATACACATTTTGTGTGCGTGGTGGTGAACTGCGCGCGTGACGTCGAGGGACCCACGCGTCGACAATAGTCCTCTGTTGACGGTGGCTTCCTGTTCCACAAATATTTATGATATTCCCCAAGGTTTTTATTTTTATGAATGAATGTAGCACATATTATTCTGGCCAATCAGATTCATTGTATCTTCTTCTGATAAATTGATCGCTCGTTGTATCATTATCCTGATAAATATCCCAGTAGGACATGATAGTTTTGTACAAATCGGAGCCGTAGTCGAGTCGGCACCAGTATCTTCTTCGACTTGGGGTGCACTAGAGCCAGTGCTCCAGAAATCTCCCGTACTTCGGATTCGCCTATGTCTTTGTGGATCTTCTGCTCTGCAGCAATTACTCTCATGTTCACCGTGAACTCTCCGCTCATAGTCGCTTCTACGGCAGCCATTGGGACTTTTGGGTTATCCTCCAGTTCCTCGCTCGCTAACTTGTCGGACAAACTCGTATCACTCGTTTTCGCCTTCCCCTCTAGTGTGGGAGTCGTTACTGCAACCTATCTACGATTACACGACAAAGCGCTGAGAGCAACCTACGACTCTCCTGGGTTGCTGGGTAATTTATCATGGTTTATATTACGTAAAAAATCACAAGAGTCGAATTTTTAAATGTTGTGATAACTATGTTCGAGTAAGTACGAATTTCTAACTTTGTTCGAGTAAGTACGGATCCCACGGTCCCACCGTTTTAAAGTAAAGAAAGCGGGAGTGGAGGCCGCAGCCCCGGCGAGGATGTCGGCAAAGGGAGTGCCAGCGAAAGGAGAAGACGGCTCTACAGATGGAGGTACGGGTTCAAGTCATCGTGGTACTCGTGCTGCTTCCGCCACCTGACGATATTTTGTTTGCTTATAGAACGTCGTGCTGGTTTGCGATACCACAAGCCAGTCGACTACGTCCGCGCTGCTCAAGGGTTCACCACGGACCCTGTGGACGATGATATGTATATCGATGACCCGTCAGCCACCCAAGCGGATGTGATGAATGAAGATGCTGACATGGAGGGTCTGGTGAACGAGGACGAGGTCTACGACGCAGGCGCAGACGCCACAGACGGAGACGCCGCAGACGGAGACGCCGCAGACAGAGACGCCACAGACGAAGACGCCGCAGACAGAGACGCCGCAGACAGAGACGCCGCAGACGGAGACGCCGCAGACGGAGAAGCCGCAGACGGAGAAGCCGCTATTGCTGACGCCACAGCAGACGCAGATGTAGCGACAGACGCCGCACACGGAGTTGCCGCAGACGGAGACACCGCAGACGGAGATGCCGCTAGCGCAGACGCCGCAGGCGGAGACACCGTTAGCGCAGACGGCGTACACTCACGAACTACGGCACCTGTCGAAAAAAGACCTGCTAGTCAAGTCAGCCTCGGTATGTTGCTTGCTGTGTTGCTTCATTGTGTTGCTTTGTGTGTTGTTTTGGAATGTTGCTAACTTTTTGTGGCTGTTGATATTAAAGATGCGGTTCACCAGTTTGTGGCAATCACCCGACAGAACGCCGAAGCTGAAACTGCTACAATCAATTCCAGAACAAGTTGTCAGTCAACTGCGGGGTCGAAGTCAAAACCGCAAAAGAAAAATTCTCGAACGGAGTACATAGATTCGGATTGTGATAACGCAGTAACAGCTGCGTTTCCACCCAATCGTTCCAAGTTTAATTATGGGGGACAACCCCGCCATGCTACTTCCTCTCAGCCTGTGTCGGCGGGACGGCGCCTACCTCAACGAAAGACTAAAACGTGGGAAGAGCGAAAGAAGATGCTAAAGCGCATAAGCCTGTGGATAACTTTGTGCCAGAGCTTCCGTTCAACGTGTTTTTTACTTTCCTTCGATAAGAAGAGAAATACTGCTATGCAAAAGCTGTGTTTGAACCTGTGATGGAACATCTAGCGGAATTGTCGAGTCCAGTATTCTACTCCGCCCTGAAGGCCTGGAAAACAATAGTTAACAAAGGTCTACACGACGTTGGATCAGCCGAAGAGCAAACATCAGACGCTACAACAGTGCCAGATGAAGACGGATCAGGAGAAGACTTGGATGCTATCGACACTACGTCTGACATAACACCAGCAGATCTCATTGAAACTATAAATTTCATTCGTGAAATGGAGAAAAGTGAGTTTGTTCTGCAAAGAAATACTAAAAGGGCCGAGTCGTCGCAGGAAAGTGAGCTTGGTAGTTCAACCGCACGGAATAAAACAGCTCCATCCAGTGACATTGACATCGCCACCTCCACTTCGGTGAATCCGGGCGTGAAGCCCGGATTAACGAAGTATTACCCGACAAAAGCCGCGGTCACGGTAAAATCTACGGAAGAACCACCCAGTGTGAAGAATGATTACCCCCCAAAAGCTGCTGTAAAGGCAGAAGCGCACAAGAAAATATCGAAAAACGTTGGAACACAAGGAGGCCGTCTGGAAGTGCTACGTATTCCAAAACCCAAACCACGAAGCAACCAACGAAAAAAACTAAAGCAAGCTCGGCTGGAGAAACCCGCAAAGCCTAATGAGCTAGCCATTATTACGTTACCGGACATACATGTGCCATCTGTGTCTCGCGTCATCGTGTGGGCAACAAATACTTCCGACCAGAATCGTGTCAGCGAGATCTTGGCAGGTTACCCAACGATCTTGGACGACGATTTCATGAATGCGCGTGTTGCACACAGCTGTCGAGAGTCTGTGTCTCCCAAGGACTACGTCTACAACTTTGTAATTCCCAAACCGCTAGTAATTAAGCTGAAAGCGGTCATTGAAGCAGAACGGAAGAAGCGACCCAAGTCGAAGTATTTCAACCCCGTGGTTGAGCACCAGGACAGCAACACCGAAGCAAATTATTGCATATTTTCCTGGTGGAACGGCCACGATTTACAAGGTAAGCTTTTGTAGTGTTGCTCGGTGTGTGCTCGGTGTGTTGCTTGGTGTGTTGCTGTGACTGACTTGCTTCTACAATGTTGTTGGCTGCTGTACGAATCTGTTACAACAGTGAAGCCGTCTTCAAAATGTCGGAGTTTTACAACGTGGTAAAAAAAATTAACGCATGGAGAGCTGACATGGAATGGCTGCAAACGACCAAGTGGAGCAATATCCTTGCAAACCCCGAGTTGTTTAAAGCGGAGACTGACTCGGACGACATATTCTTACTGTCGGCGGGGGAAAAACATCAGGAGCTGGCAAACGAAGTGGTGGTACAGATCGAGGGTGCTTGCTTAAGTTCTACTTTCCGACTATCAAGTGGTGAAGGCGCCGTTAAGGTCGACACGCTCGTTGGAATGCTTGCGCGTGACAGAATGCTCTCTGATGTCATTATCAATTTCAGTGTTCGATGCATCTGCGATGCGCTGGGAGATTGTTACGCATTGGATTCATTTTCTCCAACTATGGGCTGTCCGAAACCACCACCGTCACGGATTTCAAGCTTCCACTACCTTGTGTTGCCTCTGCATTTAAGCAACATCCGTTGGGGTGTCGTCATCGTCGCCATTGCTTACAAAAGAGAAGATCCGTGCTTTACACCCTACTACTACGAGTCAATGTGCGGATCTTCGTATAGCGATACGATGGAAGCGACTTACACGTCTACGGTTGTGCCATTTTTGAAAAGAAGTGGCAATGATAAAACCATGCCGAATGAAGATTATCCAGTGGAGAACAGTAAAGTATGGTTAATGTCGCCCAAAGCAGCTCGATGGAACTTCGTGTGGTGTGCTGACTATTGCCCAAGTTTATTCCGTGTTGAAGGACAGCTTCCCAGCTTGCACAAGGTGCCGTTACAACAGACGATATCGCAATTATGCGGCTTCGTATCATGTGGATGATAGTTATGCAGCCAGAAGTTAACACTGTAGCAAACCAAATTGCTAAGGAGATAGAGGCGACTGACTTGGAGCTACTTGCGACCATAACACATTAACACGAGCAGTTGCCTTCGCCAAATGGTATCGATTTTTTAAATAGTTACGTCGTCTCGTCTTCTTCCTGTGAGTTTTGTATTAAGCTTATTTAAATGTGCTCTAATAGAGCTTCGCAGCACTGTTCGAGCGCCACTGAGAACGACATCACGTAGCCTGTTTCGTGCGTAGGTACTCCAGCAGCGGCGGCAAGGCGGATAGTCTGTTCCTTCTCGTGAGCTATCATCAGAGCCAACTCGTCTCGTTCATTCATAAGCTCTCGTGAAAACTGTGAGATTTTCTCCAGCTTTTCTTCTATCAGCTTGATATTCTGGAGGCGAGAGCGCAGCATTTGCTTGCAAACCATAGCCTTTCGAGTACGCGAGAGAGTGGTGCCTTCATTACTTCGTGGCTGTAGCGTTGGGGGGGACAGTGGCGGTGGCAGTTGATCGGAGTAAATGCCGTCGAAGTGTTTGCTGCTGCCTTGGTCCATTTTGTGTGTGCGCCAACAGCCGCTATTCCTCTTGGGCAACTGTGATATTTGTCAAATGGCTTATGGAACTTTCACAGTTCCGGTATTTTATTTCTCAAAAGAAGGAAGCCCTAAAATAAATTACGCCGTGTGTTGCTTCTGGGGGTTGCTTCTTGTGTACAGGAGGCTGGTAGGTTGCTGCAAGACCTGTCGTTTTGTCGTAATTAGGTTGCAGTAACGGGACCCCTCTAGTGTGGTACAATCTTCATCGGTGATGGGCAGTCCTGACAACGCATCGGCAGCGACGTTGCTGCTGCCGGGAACGTAATGTAAAGTTGGACCAAACTCCTCAATTCCCAGTCTCCACCGCATCATGTGCACGTCGTGGAACGTGGAGTAGGTTAGGTTGAGGTGGTCGTTGTACAGATGCAGTTCCTGCCCCAAAAGCAGTGTCTGGATTCCAGACACTGTTCCAGAGTTCCAGACTCTGGAACTCGCGCAATACCGCACGATGCTTAACAGCTCGAGTCTGTTAGCTGAGTATGAGGCCTGCACGGAGTTACACGTCTTTGACTATAAAGCCAATGGTTTGCCATCCTGAAAAATGACGGCGCCAAGCTGAAGATTCGATGATACATGGAACGGGCGCCCGCAAGTCGGGAACGCTAGAAGCACGCACTCTGACAGTGCTGCCTTGATTGCGTCAAAAGCTGCCTGTTCCCCTGTCGACCAGCGAAACTGTACTACTGAGAACGAGAGTCAAGTCAGCGGTGCCAGTAGTTGCGCTTTGCGTGGTAGCATGTCGCTGTAAAATTTGATCATACCAACGAATCGACGAGCTTCACGGCGGCTGCTCGGCGGGGCAATCGCATTAATCGCAGTTACTTTGTTAGGTAATGCCGAGATCCCATCATTCGAAATCTGAGATTCTATCACTGAGGCACAGATCTTTGACTTCGTACGGTGTAGTATTAGCCCGTGGTCACGAAGTCGGCTAACAGCCAAGTGCTGCAGATGCTCCTCAAAGGTACCAAGATGTCGTCCAAGTACACGTGGACATAGTCCAGGTCCCCGAGGATCTCGTCCATCGCAGCCTGGAGCTCGTCCGGAGCGGTCGACACGGCCATAGGCAGTTTTAAGAACACGAACTTTCCAAGCGGCGTCGTGATGCACGTAGCGGGTTGGCTGTTATGGGTGGGAGCAATGGTATAGTAGCTCGAAGGTACGTCAAAGTCGGACTTGTACTTCGGTCTGTCGACCGAGCGAATCACCTCTTCAGGATCGCGCGTTGGATAGTAGTTTTGCTGCAGGAACTTGTTCAGCCGCAAATCGAACGCTTTCAGCCTTTTTGGGGGCCACAAAAGTCGGGGAGACTCAAGGCGACGTCGTATCTCGCTTCAGCACACCAATCTTAACAAGTCTCTGGATCGCATGACGAGTGGCCTCGTAGTAAGCCCGTGGGATCGGAAATGGCCGTCTTGCAAATGGCTTCGCGCCAGGTTTGAAGGCGAAGACGTACGGCTCTCTCTTCATGCTTCTTAACTGGCTCGTAAGCAGGACTTCAAACTTCGATATCAACATCATGATTTTAGCCTTTGCATCTGCTGATAGTGTGCTGCCTTCACGCCGCCTATCCAGTGGCACTTCCTCGGGTGACGTCACGTCAATCGCTGATTTACACTCCATGCCAGCTTGCAGCACTGCTGCCGTCGTGTGACTAGTGCTTGGCTTCCCAAGCATCCTTACTTCCAGGCCATCCCATTCTACACTTCCCCGGTCAACGTCTGCACCATTCGCTGTTGTCTCTTGAAGTCGCTTCCGAGGTAGAGCAGTTTCTCTCTCACGCGAAACTCATGCGAGCACACCCTGCTCTGCAAGAAATCCAACAGCTTGAACGTCGCGGGCGCACAGTACGTCGTCGTGCCAACCGAGCCATCGGCGTTCCTAAATTTGGCAACATCGGGCCGTAGAACGACATCGGACGTCAGAAGTTCCGCCTCCGTGCGGTCCATGGCCGAGCGAGTGCAGCCTGTGTCCAGCAGCGCCCCTACTCGGTGCTTGCTCATGAGGATTTGCACCTCCATATTTAGGACCAGCGTCGTCGATGTCGGCTTCATACAAGCCTCCGTCCTCATAGCCGCAATTGTGTCAGAATTGCCGCTGTCGTAGAATCGCATGACTGCGAGCTCCTCGTTCTGACGCTTCTGCATGGCGCTCACCATTTCCACCATGGCAGTCAGCTGCTCCTGCATCGCATCCATTGTGCTGCCACTACCACCATCGCTAGGCCGTCCTGTGTGGTGCTTCCCAGTGCTACTCACATCCTCTTCTCGGTTTTCGCTGAGAACTGACATCACTTTCTATTTAAACCAACTGAAATATCAGCACACACATAATACTTTGACATGTTTTCAAAGATATCTAAGTATACTAAATAAGAATTGGAGCACTTTTTCGCATTAGTATCAGGGAATAACAATATTTCACAACAACCATTGTGCTTTGCAGTGATTTTGGCGAAATTTTTAGGAGTTAAAAATGGCAACCCGTCATCGTAGTAATTTCGAGGGTTTTACTTTCTGTATAGGGATTAAACTCCTTAAATTTATACAGCACACGGCACAACTTTAAAGCAAGTACATTCCTTAAATTTAGTGGGATTCGAACAAAATATTTCAGCTGGGAGTTTATGAAAAATCTGATAACACACCAGTCTTTCCGAGGTCTCTGCTGTGACACTTAAGAAGCCGACTTCCGAAGAAATTAGCGAATTTGATGTCGATACGAACCTTAGAATTCATCTACCATAAAGTACAAGAGAGTTGGGCTGGTAGTTCTGTTTTATTTTTTTAAAATTATTGTGCTTTGCAGCGATTTAGGCAAAACGAGGTGAGATTTGCTGGATTTAAAAGAAACAGGGCTGGATTTACAAAAATGTGAGTTCATAAAACCGTGACCACGATGATTTACAGTATAGTTTCTAGAATTGCACTTTTGAGAGTACAATTCTGGCACAGATATTGCATTTTGTTCCACTACACCCGTAACTGTACAATCAAAATGGAAAGCATTTACCAATGCAAACATAAGGCATTGCTTGCTGGTGTGGCCTAGTGGTCACATCGATTACAATTTATGCAGGTGCATTTAGGAAGTCATTTAGCTAATTACCAGGATTATAATACTTTTTCACACGCATCTACGCAAAAACGTGTTATGTGTCATACATGCCCTTCTATAAGTCAACTTGTTGTTACGCAAATAGCCTAGACCAATACGAACCAGCTGCTATCGGCGCGACTTGCCTTGTAAGAGGCCAGCCTGCCCAAGCTTCGGCATTCTTGGAATGCACATTTGTGTACAAAATGTATTATAGACCAGACTGAGTCATAAATTACATATTCGAACGGACCCATGCACGTACGAGGATATTACCTTTTGATTTTGCAGCTAAGGAATATTGTGTTCATTTAGAATTACCAACGAACACCAATATCTGAAACTAGCACCCATTTGCGTTGCTAGTTGTTGCAGTCTTCTATCTAAGAGCTGGTTTCTTCTTGTGACGTTCGCTCGGGCATGTCGATGTGAGTTGCTTGCCACGCGCCGATGACACCGCGTACGCCTAGTAATAGCGTGTCGCGCATTGGCTGGGGGTCGTCCGCCAATACCACCTGTCGCCTTATCTTCGTGTCCATACAGAGATTTGCTAGAGTGTCTGCCGTTTTGTCGTGGGCCCGATAACGATAAAAGCAGATTTGCATGCTGCATACATTCGCAAGTGACCTGCATTCCCTATAAATATTTGCAAAAAGTTGAGATATTGGCGGTTTCCGTTTTTCAAGTTGTCGAATGATCATCTGGCTGTCACCCACGACATGTAGCGGGCTCAGTCCATCTCGCTTGGTGTATTTCGGTCCATGAGGCTATTACCTTTGCCTTCGTAATGTGTGGTGAAGGTGGCTTCTTAGTTTAGTTAACGTTTTGTAATGAAGAATTTTATTTAGACACTCGCCTACGCCGTGTTTCTTCCGAGTAGCGCGTGCAAAGACCCATTAGGGCTTTGGAACCGCGAGCTCGGCTATCATAACATCAAATTCGTTACCCGCGTTTTTTGCTTGCATGTCATCTTGTTCCTATGTCGAGGTGACGTTGGTCCTAATGGCATTACGAACGTTGGGATTAGATAACTGCCACCGTTGCTCCAGCCCTCGCGAAAGGTTCCAATGGTCGATCTCGCGGAATTGTGTAGCTGCGTGCTACTAGACACCGTCTTTAAGCTGTTACAGCAATAGCACTTAGTACTATCTTCACGATCTTTACACTTTCACTGCTGATAAGCGCCGTATGGCTCTCAGTGTGATCGAACTGCGCGAGTGCAATTAGTTGGTAGCTCCGCGATCAGTCACCCATATCGCCTGAAGCGATGAAAACAGACCGTCTGCGCAAGTAACTTTAGAAAATGCGATTACCACGCGCTCACTAAACACCAGAATCCAGAGCAGACGCGGCTTTCAATCATATACGCCTTTTACGTGAACACCCTACCGAGGCGTTTCGTGGACATTCCACTCTCCTAGCGATCAATGACACAGATGGTGTCGGACGCTGCTATCACGCGCGGGATGATATAAGATGCGCAGCGGTCACTTCGCTCTCATAGTCTAGTGCACGACGCTTCGCCTGGCCCGCCATCGACATTGC